AGCCCGCACAGACGGCTCGTTGCTGGAGGCTGGGGTTGGAGCACCCCGGTTTCTGGAGTGAGGGTGGTCCTTCGTGTGTCCCCCCCGAGCTTTGCTTGTGTCCTTCGTGTCCCCCCGAGCTTCGCGCCCCGTCCCGCTGAGCCGCTTCACGCTGTCTTGCAGGACCCGCTCACTGGCACGAGCACTTCCCCAATGCCAACGGAGAGCGCCAGTCCCCCGTTGCCATCAGCACCAAGAGCGCCAAGTACGACCCCACTCTGAAGCCCCTCAGCTTCAGCTACAATGCCAGCACGGCCAGAAACATCGTCAACAACGGGCACTCCTTCAACGTGGAGTTTGATGATTCTTCTGACAAGTCGGGTGAGACCTGGTCTTTGTGTGCGGGGTGGGGGGTGGGAGAAACTGCTGCTGAAACGTCCGCTGAGCCCGCAGGTTTTCGAAAGATAAAAAAATACCAAAGTGTTTTGGCTTCAGTGAGGTCAGGATTCAGCCCTTGGGATTCAGCATCCCGTGTGGCTCCTTCAGGCTTGGTCTTCTCCTAACAGGAGCTCAGTATCCTGCTAGTCTGTCTGAGCAGTTTAGAACTCCCCTGCTCAAAGCTCAGCAGAAGCAAATTGCTTTATGTTTGTTTAAATCGTAAGGATTTGGGGAAGAGCTCATCTGTGGAGAGGAGAAAAAAAGATTATTTAGCAAGAACGGCTTTAGGCAAGGTCCATCACAAGCTGCTGACCAAATGGTTAAAAGAAGAGGCAAAACACATAATGGGAAGAAGCTGGCCTTAAAATAACAAAGGATTACAGTTAATAACTTGAAGTAGAAATAGTTTGGAAATAGTTTTGTTGGTTATCAAAATATTATTTCATATTTCTGAAGCCAATATGCTCCCAGGTTAGCACAGAAACAGAGGAATGATGAGAAAATACCTCCTTGTTCTTCTGTAATTTAAACAAGCGTTATCTCTGACATTTCTTGATGCTGGGCTTTCTAGATAAAAATAATATATCTGACACGTTCCTGCAAAGTTTGCTAGCGGGCACTGGTTCCACAGCATCTTGCTGCTCACCGTGCTGTACGGTGAAATCAAGCACGGAACCCTGCAAACCTTTCAGCAGTCTTTGCTGAAAGGAGTGGCCGCACTGATGGACAGACGGAATCCAAGCCGCAGTTGCAACGAGGGATTTGTAGGTTGGTTTTAATTGCAGTTTTTCTGCTGGCTGGATTTGCGGAAATCGTCACTCTGCTACAATGGATGTGCCTCTATTTTTAATTCAGGCAGCAAAAACAATCCCATTGTAAGTCACTGCCTTCTCTAGGCACTGCCTGATGTAACTTGCTTGAGCAAGTGCCCTATTTTTCCTAAGCATTTCATTGGCAATGTAATTTAGGGAATGGTGCTGAAAACAAATGATCTGTGCCTACTGAAAATGTGTGTGTGGGGGTGTTTGCAGGTAATGTAATATAACGGCATACCAGACATTCAGCATTGCATTAAGAACTTGGTTTTGTGTTTTAATTACAGTCTTTGTACTGAACAATATTAAGTGGTCAACTATAAGTGTTCACAGTCTTATAAGTACACACAGGTCCGTGTATAATTTACACAGAGTATCCACATTAGTATTTGTATAGTTTAGAAAAAGGAATAAGATATTCTTCTTTTATTTTTCTGAAGCACTGAGGAGCTAAAGGAGCTGAATGTCCATTTTAACGGTGTCATGAGAAAGAAGGTAGATGATTCAGTGCACAAAAAAAGGGATTATGTTTTCACCAGATACCTGCGAGTCTGCTCTCGCTGTCATCCTGCTCTCGCTGAGCCCGAAGGAAACGTGTTCAGGTCTTCAGAGTATAGCAAAACTATTATGTGTTCACTTTGTGTGTGTAAGTTTAGAAAGACTGTGAAAATTAGGTTGTATTTGGTAACTTGGGAGGAAGAAATGACAGGAAGGTATAATAATCTAAAGAAATGTCTGTAGGAAGAATGCTTTTTATGAGAAAAGTCGGTGCAGAACCAGAACATCTGTGACAGGGATCCTCTGACAGATACGCAGTGACACAGCTTTCAGAGTGGGAGGATAGGAGATACAAGTAGAAATATTCTCAGTAGCTCTATTAGTGAATCAGAAACTGATTATTCTTTAGGAAAAAATCATTCAATGGATCTCTGTGAAGCCAGGTAAGGTGGATCCTTCAGTATCACTCTTGCTATTGAAAATTACAGTGCACAGAATCTACCTGGCAACACAGTTAATGGCTTCATTTGTATGCAGTTAACTAGGTAACCTACTTTCCTTACACAAAATAGAGCTGTCTTTGACTTGGCCGTGCTTGATTCACTCCTGTTTCTGAATTTGAGACTGCGTAATGCGCGTACCAAATTCTTGGTTAGACATCACGCAGCAGTCACAAGGAGAAACGATGTGAGATTGTGATGTGCTGGTATGTTTTACAGAAGACAGTGGAATAAAGTCCTTTAAATACTTCTCAAAGGCTGTATTGCTTGCTCTTATGAGCTGTCCCGTATGCAGTAATGAATTACCTGGGGTAGTAGGCAGAAAATGAAGTAATAAGATTGTTGTTTGTGAACTATCTTCAAGACGTGAGTAATTGCATACAAAGAAGTAGATCCATTCATTGAGAATCTTCAGGCTCATAACTAATGGCACTGAAGTAAATTGAACAGCAGTTCTGGGTATTAATGTCTGTTTGAATCCTGCTCTTCAGGGTATGCAAAATGAGTTCTTGAAATAAAAAATATAGGCAGTAATAGTACAGCTTTCTTATCTAGTTTTACTAAAAAACATGTTTGGATAAAGCTCTGGAAGTAGTTGTTACTTGTTTCTTTGATTTGGAAAATATGTAATGTAAATACTGTTGATGACAAGTAACGTCATGTAGATATCAGAATATTAAAAATTTTGATGTAAAATATTTTTCCCTCAAATAAAACACTCTTCCTCTCAAATGTATATTTGTTACATTATGCATGTACATACCAGAATATGTAGTATAAAGCTTCTGTTCATATCGATGAAAAACTAAAAATCTGAAAAAAATAGGATTTCTCAATATGTTATCCTATCTATATTCTTTATCGTAGTAAGGATGTAAAATAAGTTTAACTTTTTAAACAAAAATAATCTATGTGCAATTTATGCAACTAACGTATCTTCACAGAAGAAAATGCTTTATTCTCTGCTCTTAGAAGATACTTTTGCTAGTAGGTCGAGCTTTATAGACGTAACTCGTGATTCAGGTTGTAATTATGCCTATGACCTATACAGTTTTCTCTTGCAATGGTATTTTAACAGAGAAATTATGTTAAAATCTTTGTGATAGCTTTAGAACCTGACTTGTTAATTTTATTAGATATGCTTAGCAGTTACTAAGGGTGCTTAGAAAAACCCTCTTCCTAAGCAATTACCCCCAGATCTTCTATTTTAGTTCTTATAGTACAGCCTTTGAAGTTCTTGGGCTACATGACAGCTGTTACATTCCAGAAGACACTTTAAAGGCTCGGTCAATTCCCAAGGTGAATCCCCTTCATATTCCACAGTTGCTAGTTGGTAGAAAATGTGTACAGAAAGAAAATTCACAAATCAGCATTGCCATGTTTACGAAGATTTTTTTGCTTGCTGGAATTCCATTATTTTCTCTTAGATAAAAGGATGCCTTCTGTCTTGTTTCCTTGCAGTCTTTTGGAATGTTTTCTTGGACATGTATGTAGGAAGCAAACAGTGAACTTCCTTTTCCAGTTGTTGCTTAGTTTCTCTTCTCCTTCAGTTCTTGCAGTTGCTTACTTGGTTCTCATGTCCACTGTCTTTTAATAATGGTGAAAGTTCAAGTGTTTGTAGGCATTCATCTTTAAATAAAAGCAAAAATTCATTATGATAAGTGTCACTGGGCATAAAACTCCAAATTCAGGTTCATCCACTCTTGTATCCTACATATTCCATGTGTGAGTGAAGCATATGGTGCTGATAACAGTTGAATTATAACAATGCACTTTATTTTCAGGAACTTCATAGCAGAGGAGTGTCTCATTAAGGGTACTTATTTTATCATATTAAACACTGTATGTTATAGTCTGCTGTAAGGACAAGTGTATTGTTTCATTTACTTTGAGACACATGAACAGCAACTTCTCAGAGCTGTAAAACCACAGGAAGTGACTCTGCTCAAGAAAGCCTCAAGAGCCTGAAAGAAGATTTTTGTAACGTACTTACAATGTGTTCTTTATGTAAGTTTCCCAGAAAACTTTCAAGAATTCACCTAAAACCTGAGATTCGAGTGCAAAATTCTCACAGCAGTAGGCACTGTATTCTGTACTCTCTGACCATGTGTATGATGAGCTTATGAAAGGAAGAAGTCAATCAGCGATTAACTTACTACATAACAAGAATGTTAAAATATCATATTTTAGCTGTAGAACCTGGCAGAAGTGAACTGCAGCTATGGTGTAAAGGCTCTAGAGACATTACTAAATGTACTGATAATTTCTGCTGGTGGAGGAGTCTCTTAATCATTTCCTTTTCCTTCATTGCTGCTAAGCTAGAGAGAACACTGAAATCCAAGACAGAGTCCCAAGTAAATCTGACGCTTTTGCAGATATTCAGTGGTAATAGAACTTTAAAATTATGAGAAGGCCTGGGGAAATAAAAGTACTGTATTGACCTTGGAACTAGCTAGCACCCCTTGGGAGACTTTCAGTAGTTGTAATCAAATACATTACTCAATTCTTCCTATAATTTCAAATATTAATGAGGAAGCTTCAACTGTCTTGAATTATGACTTGCTGTAAACAAACCAATTTATTTTGTTAGATTTGTTATTCAGTAGCCAGTGCATTAGCACTGCTTGTTTGGCAGTGAGTTACTCAGAAAGTTGTGCCACTGTTGCTCTTCTCCTTCGCTTCTGCCTCAGCAGGTAAACTGAGGAAGAAACACACAGCTCTGCTGTCCTTAAGGCACAGTTCTAAATCCGAGTCACTGCCACTGGGCTATTTTTAGGCTTCTCAGCACCGAAGATGTAACATTAGCTATGCCATAAGAATATTATCAGTATACAACTATGGACTGAAGGTCCACAATAGTATAGCCTATGCAATGTGCTGACCCTTCTGAATCATGAATCAAGGGACTGATTGCTGATAGCTTATACTATTCTGACACCTGCCCATGTGTCAGACTACTTTTGTGCTCTGCTTGACTAGAAAGTGAGAGGGCCTGGAGGGTGTGTGATCATGAAGTCCTTCCTCTAGTGGACTGGGATCAGCAGAAGCTGCAAAGCTTACATGAGCAGGTGACTTGCGCATAGCTCTGGTGCTTCCAGAAACTGGAAAGGAAGGTGAGAGGGCTTGAGAT